TGTTATTTTTGTAACAATATCTGCACGATCATTAATTAACCTGATTTCATTTCCTTTTTGGAACCTGATATCAGCTTACATGTATGTTGTAAATGTCAACAAGTTTCCATCAATCCCTTTTCCTGGCAACCTACTTTTACTAATTGGATTTCTTTTGGAGCATATTCTGCATGTTAGAAATAGATAGTTTTTTTTACAGGATCTGTAATATATTCTTGTATTGCCTCCAGTCTTTTCTAAACATAACCAATAAAACAATGTTTTTCCTTTTCAGGACTCCTCAACCCTCTCTCTCTCTCTCACATGGTGCACCCGCAAACCTACTGTATAAAACAATGTTTGTTTGAAATCTTTTGGAAATATATAAATTTTACCTCTATCATTTCTAGAGATACAGTATATTCTATGATCTAGAGTAGATGTAAACCTAGGAGTATTCCGGTGTTCGGTGCTTTATTGTAACATTTAGGTAGATTAATGACATGATTTACTATAGATTTGTCACCAAAGTCATGTTCCTACTGTTATTGATATGTGAATTCCTATTGAATAATGTGAAGAGGACGAGAGTGAAACTTGTTTTCTCTCTCTAGAAATGTGAGAGGTCTCTGCTCCTTGGGTGATGTTTTTATCAGGCAGGGGTGAAATCCATCGTTGAGTTTGCAACATGGAATGCCCTCGAATGATACTAGAACATGCTCACGTCTTTGGGTCGATCTATTGATTATTCCCCGAAGACGGCGCGAGTGTGATGGAAGGAAAACATCTCACAGCCTTTCCACACTGGAAGAAGAAGAATTTGTATGAAGAGATAGTGTGCAAGAAAACACATACAGTGTATGATGATTACATGTGTTTTATCTGCTGAGGTTCATAAGGGCATGATCTTGTCTTCATTCACTTCTACCTACAAGTTTATTTCCTTCCAGCTTTGAGTAGATGATTGTATGTAGCCAAAGGTGTGTATGCATGCACCAGGTTGATCTATCTTATAGATAAACATGTAAAGTAACTCATTAGGCAGGGAGGGTGCAGTTGTGTACCATTCTCGTGCTGTAGGGCAGTCACTCGGTGAACTGACCCTGATCCTGTGTAATGTTTAGGTTTGAGAATGATGTTCAAACTTCTGTTTCTCACTTATGACATCTCATTTTACAACCTTTTGTTTGTCAGCATTTTTACTAGACACAATTAATAGTTGTTGAATAGCAATAGAATTATCATACAAAACATAGTTTTCAGCATCTTAATTGGGGGGGGGGGGGATGGTAGTTAGCTACATGATCTCAAGATGATCTTACTTAGATGAGGGTTTAATTAAATGAAAAAACTTTGAAGCACAATCACACAGCTGTGTAGTGTATAGATTTGCAGGAAACAACATACCTCCCCATAACACTTGAGATGCTAGCAGCACTTTGTGAATAATACATCACTGCCATATGGCGTAGCTCATAAACACGAAAGGTCTTGCACGAGGGAAAAGCGCCCTTGCCTTCCCTTGCAGTAATCATCTTTTATTCACATATATATGACATTGATCTCATGGCTGACGTGTCATCACATCTTTGCCTGTTGGCTCACATCTAATTTGGAAGACGTTGGGGAGCAGGACTAGCGGTGAATGCAAGCTCAGGTGCTGAATGTGACATTTAAAGGAAAAGATGAGTTTTTGAACCATCAAGAAATGCAAGGAATTGATGAGATTGCAGATACAAGTAGACCTTTGTTTACAAACATACATCCAGATGTATTCTATAGATCTTAATCAGTATTAGATTGAAATAGAAGCCGAGCTGTTGAAATACAGCATTAAAACCTGTATGTTAATATAACTCCATTGAGGATCTATCCTTTGTCAATCATTTGTATTATAACTTTTAAGTTGATCGTTGAGAACTGAAAAGGCAATATCTCATATGCTTTAACACAGAGCTAATGTCCTTTTAGCTCTTAAGATAGATAACTTTTAACATTAAAATTACTGAAAGTCTGAAACACACCCAATTCTTGACATTGTCCTTGCACAAATCTGATCCGCAAAAGTCTCCACTCTTCACTATATATCCTAGTCATAATCTGTAATGATAATCCCAGTGCTTTAATCCAAAGTCTAACTGTCTTATTCTTGTGGTCATATCTTGCGATCCAGTGTACTTCAATAGAGGGATGGGCAAAATCCTGTAAGTCAACGCAGGCACTGTAGAATCATTGACATTGGTTGTTAGTGTATTGTATTTGTTGAAAGAAGGTAGACATCACAATCTGTCATGTAAACATCGACCTGTCAGTCTCTCCTGTATGCATTTACTCATACACTTGAAAGAAGCTTTGAACTAGAGCTAGAATTAATATTTGGATTACCTTGATGTACGTGTCCTTATTTACATCCCACTCAATTTCTTCAGTCAGAAAGCGTCGAAGATTTGGATTCAAGCGCGATGCTTACATTGTATCCTTCAATAACAGTAGGCGTGTCTGCACTATCTCGAGATTGCCAAATATCCAGCTATTTTGAACTATCCCGATCGAAACTATCCAGCTATTTGCGTCTTCATTAGACCGAAGTGGCAAATTAGCTGGATAGTTGGTCGGGATAATATCCCAAGATATCTCGGTCTAGTTTGCAAAATATCCTTCTATTTCCGAACTAGCGGGATAGTTTGCGACCGTCTTCATTAGACCGAAGTACGGAGTCAATTATCCCGATCCCATCATGCACAACGATTTCCGGTTCGCACATGCGATCTATACTGCTCAGCGCTGACCTCGCAACCACTGACCTCGAGTAAACACGGAAAACCGCAAACTAGACCGAGATATCTTGGGATATTATCCCGACCAACTATCCAGCTAATTTGCTACTTCGGTCTAATGAAGACGCAAATAAGCTGGATAGTTTGCGATCGGGATAATTCAAATAGCTGGATATTTGGCAATCTCGAGATAGTGCAGACAGAATTAGTGAGATCAATTCTGTGTTGTAAGGGTCAGTGCCATCCGCTATCTTTTCAGTAAAGATGGATTTAATGATAAATTCAGTATGCTGTTTGATTAGTGCCAGAACGACATTAACTCATAGCAGTTATAGCAGTTGTACAGAGTTAACACCCTTCTGGCTTTCAACAGATGAGTTAGTGTATGTTTGCGTTTGTTTATGTTTGAAAGAAATTAGAAGGAGGGACAGACCTTGAACAAGTTGCTTTGAATGGGGAGCAAGGATATATTAAATAATCAGATTATTCATTTTCAGAGGAACTTGATCACAATCACCTGACTGACCTGCCAATTTGAGGTTACTTTATAGATTGCCACGTTTGCTGATCTTCAAACCTTTTTGAAGTTCATATGTTTTCTTCTATGATTTGTCCGAAAACAAACTTTTTTTGTTTGTTAAGGGGAAGTGGTGTGTGCAAAATGGGGTCTATGAGTGTCACATAAATATTGGAATTATTTTCCTTTTAAATATGGAACAATTATTTGAAGCATTATCTCCAGTGGGAAAAATGCATGGAAGAGGTAAATAATTCAATAGCTCTAAATTAATTAAAATCATTCTTCAAAAAAAAAGCTACAAAACTACAAAATTACATAAAATGAAAGTACATTCTCACATTTATTTTTACCATTGCAAGCCAAATACATGAATTTTTAACTAAAACATTTTATCTCTGCGAGAACCGTTGCCAAATCTGGACTGTGCTTTTGATCTTGAGTCTGTTAAGAGACGTTTCTTACACAAGTATATAACATGTTACACACCTTGTTTAATGGTTAGCAGTCAAGGCCATCCAAGGATATGACTTCATCGGTTAGAAATTTGGGGTGAATCAAATCACTTCCCTTCAACATCATATTGCGGCCATCCAGCACCCTCTCTAGGAAATTACATTTAATCCACCCATCTTCATCATCACAACCAATACTGACCCAACATTAACCCTTTCATCGTTCACAAGCTCAAATTATAGCTTACTTTGTGCATGTTTTTTTTCTTCTTCTAAGTAGGGTCAGATTTTGTGAAGCATTCTTGGAATTTGTGCAGATAACTGTTGCAACCAATGCATGGGTGTATCCAGGGAGCATATGAAGAAAGGGGATTGGGGGGGGGGGGGGTCACACTACTGGAATATCTCACAAGCAAGCAAGAAAAGGGTCTTGATGCATACATGTGCAACACAATTGAAATAAATCATTTAATAAATTGACAAGATAAAAAAACACATTAAAATTGATATTGAAATATTTATGGACTAGGTCCCATCAATTGACAACATATTGTTTCATAAGTCCCTAGCAACCGAGGGACACTGACAATCTTGTGCACTGTTTGTTTATTATCGTGCATATTCTGAAAACAATAAATATTTGGATGAGATGAGACATATAACATGTATGTAACTAACACCTCTGTCACTCTGACAAGACCAATATCATACCTACAGAATGAACAGGAATTACATCACCGCAAGGGGCTAATTTACCAGTCAGATTAATGTTATATACTGTTAAAGGAGAAGTCCCCCTAATTATAAGTTGGTTTTAATAGAAGCAGAAAAATTAAAGAAACAGAACAGTGAAAGTTTGAGCAAAATCTGATGAAAAATATTAAAGTTGCCACTTGCAAATTTGTGTTTAGTTGATCACACCTTTGAAAATTCATTACTACTTCATCTATTAAAACCAACTTGATATCGGTGTGGATTTACCCTTTAAATGGCATGCCTAATGCTGATATGTTAAATTGCCTCCTCCAGAGTGTCAATATCATGGAAATGGGGAAGCATCTTATAAAATTGAATTATTCAGAAGTTTATTTGGTCTTCAAGCTTAGATAAAGAGGAAATGAAGTGAAGTATTTGACCTGATACTTCAAGAAATGATCAGAACTGCTGCGGAAGGATCGAAAGATAGTACACTGTTTATTGAAGTATCAAATGCTTGTAAAGTGAATGTTAAACTAACTGTTGCTCTTTTCATTTATTTTCTCTTTCCACTAGACTGGTCTTCGGAACCCTGTACCCAGCCTACTACTCGTACAAGGCAGTCAAGACAAGAAATGTCAAAGAATATGTAAGTATTTAATTTCATTACGCACCAATCTGTAATACGTGTCTTTTAAGCATTGGGTACCTGTACCCAATGTCCTTGGTTCAAATCCCAGAGAGGGACCCATCTGTTGAATGGAGATGTCAACTAAGGATCTTTGGTCCTTGGCACATTGTGGACTACCGGTTCCAATAGAATATATTAATTTTTAATTTTAATCGAGAGTTAAGTAGTAAATCTTTAAATTTTAATTTCACTCTTGAAAGTTCATCGTTTATAATTTATTTTTTAACTTTAAATGGTAATTCCAAAAGACAGCATAATTTGGAGCAACATTGCTCACTGATCTTCGCATTTACATTTTCACCAAGAGTCCGAGACAATGTGCCACATTGTTTCGAGGGGAAGGGGGTACATGAGTCACCCGTCACTCGCCCCTTCCACCAATTATTCCCCCCTTTCACCAATGCTCCCCACCCTATAACCTGTCATATAGCCCAGAGGCAAAGAAAACTCTGATGTGTGAGGAGAGGGCTAGTGATGGATCATTTTATCTCTCATGAGATAAGACTTGTGACATCACATCTATATTAAGTGTCACAGGGAAGTTTCAGTGTTCCAAGGATAAGATTTCACACCCTACATGCTCTCAGCAGATAAAGTATTGTTCAGTTTAAAGCCCCTCTAAAGTGTTTGGAGCCCCCAAAATTTAATGGCAAAATTTCACTTAAATTGTATCATAATGATAATGTGAAAGAGGACGTCATTTAATAATAATAACATTCCGCTTTTATATAGCGTATCTACAATGTCTCTAAACGCTTTACAGATATACTATTACCCCGGTCACTGGATTCAATACTTGCCCGCACACACTGTGTGCACAATCTCCACTCCCTGTGGAGTATTCCATACAGGCATTACTTGAAGCTCAAAACTGTTTGACCAACAATGGCAGTGGCATCCTACTGGGTACCCATTTAACACCTCGGTTGAGAGTAGCAAGTGCAGGTTAATATCTTGCCAAAGGATATTTAGTACCGTGTTATTTCTGCAAGGATTTTCAAAACAAATGTGTTTAAAGTCAAATATTGATGAAAGAATACCAACTTTAGGTTTTCTGCATACAAAGGTGCTTTAAGGGGCAGGAAAAAAAGTCAGTTTGTTTTTTATTTGGAATATTGGAAAAATATATGATCAGTCATATTCATGACTGGAAAATATATTATAAAAGCATGAAAAAGCAAGCAATGTGTTATTTTAGTTCTTAATCATTCCTAGGCTCAAAATGATGGAGGATTTTATTCACAATCTCCATATGAGATAAAAGAGGAACAAAATCCTGTCATTCATTTTCAATACAGCAAATCTCCCGACTATTACAGCCTGCTGAAACTTGTTTGAATCAGCACTTCGTCTTATAATGCAATTTCACAGCCTTCCTGCCATTCCTTTCAATGGGTATGTCTCCTTATCAGCTGGATGCATCCCTGATTTCCATAGGGGGCTAGGTATATGAAGGCTGAAGATACAAGACCTGTTTCCATTAGCCGGAGTTTTGAGAACAGCATGCAAATTCTGATCATAACCACCATGAGCTAATTCACTGTCACATGTAGGGTATTAGCTCAAGCTATTATTCCTAGCAAACTAATACTCTTTTCACACTTAATGCTTTGCTTAACCCCTAACTTTGCTTTGGCTTTTCACACACGCTTTTTTAGTCCTGTACTAAGCGCCTATCCCGGAATAAGAAAATTTATGATGTTCTCACTGCAATTCGTTAGCCCGTACTAGCTTTATAGTGTCAATATTCATTAATTTGCTCCATTGCGTAGTACCAGACTATTTTTCGTTTCTGTTCTGATTCATTTGCTTGGCACCGCAATTGCGCGATTAGCCCTGCTTTTTTGCAGGGCCAGCTAACCCGTACTATACAGTTGTAGGTGGGGTTAGCCCACTTTGGTAAATATGTGTCTGAACAGAAAGTGGAATAAGCTTAACCCTGGACTATAGGTGGGGCTAAAACCCCCTTCAACCCCACCTATTGTCCGGGGTCTAGCAAAATTTTGCCAGTGTGAAAACAGTAAAAGGCTTTTTGGTGAAATATTGTAAAATCAGAAACTTCCAAGAGTGGTTCAGAGTCAGACTTGGGGAAAGTTTCATAATGAAAAATGAATCAATCACAACTGATATGGACTTTAAGACTGGACTTTCTAAAATCTGATCTTCAGATATTCCGTGATTTGTTCAAGGTCATGCTGCAAGATGAAAGAATCTAAACGGACACAATACTGATTTTTTTTTCCTTCTCAATTCACGAATGTTTCTTGCCTTAAAATTGTTGTTGTTACAATTTGGGAAGGTTTCTGCTTTTACATTAATTGCTATCTTCACCTTGACCTTGTTCAGTTTAATGGAGACCTAGACCTTCAAAAAAATTCTTGAGAAGTTATGATCTCAAATCTCAAGCTTGAGTTTGAGATTGTTAGGGCTAATGGCAACGTTCCTGATGGAGGAAGTCTAGGAATGCCAAGAAGAGCTTTGCTAGCTCTCAACGGACTCCCAGATCCTTCGCTTGAATTCATCTCCAATGAATTGATTTGTCAAATGATTCCAGATTTAGAATATTTTCAGATTCCTAGTTATGATCAGTTTCCAATATTGCGTACTGTTTTTGATAGTGAAACGCATTGATGTGGTTAGCTGGCTTCATCTGTAATGTGTTTATTTTTCTAATCTTTTCTCTGTCTGCTGTAATAAGTGAGCCACTCTTAAATGATATTTCAATACTGTTTTACATATTTGAAACTCAAATCAAAGAGATATTTACAAATGTAGGTATTGATTTTGAAGAATCAACCAAAACTGTTCGTGTCAAAATCATTTTCAGACACAATGCATGTAATATGTCAAGAATTGTAAATATATAAATATATTAAATATGGAAATATAGGACACACTGTACATTGATGGAGACACAGATAAGGCACTTTATTTTCCCTTTAATACAGTCAAATCAGAAGATTCTTTACATGAAACTTTCATGAATTGTTTATGATGACCGTTTTAGTGGCAAGAAACTATCATGAATTAAAAATAATATGTGTTATTGATATGATGATTTTGGGACATGAAACTCATGTGAATTTGGCGACTCACCTAATTACTTTACATTGTACTTGCACAACAGTTTCTGGTTTGGCAGCTTAGAGTCACTTTCTAGATACATTTTATTGTACAAACATGTCAAATCCACCTTAACATTCTCCATACATTTATTTATCCAGTAGATCTCATACATTTATGTACATATTCAATGTATTTTCGTTATGACTGTACATTTATATTCATTTCCCCCAGGCCTTTTGATGGATAACATTGGATTATTCCATGAAAAAATGTGGATTTAAATGTCACTGCATAATCAGATTTAGACTCTCTTGGCACGAGAGAGAGCGTGAGATCTAATTGTAGTCATGAAAATAACAAATAACATATGCTGAGCTAGGTACCCTGGATAAACAAGTCATTTACTTGCTAATGCTGATATTTAATGAAGTAGAAATAGAACTAATAAAACTATATTTGAACATTTAATGATGCAAGGATGTAACATACAGTGAATTGTCAATTTTTTTCTACCATCCATATGGTGTAATAATCATTTGATAATTATTATTATTTATCAGGGACAAATACATGGGGGCTCAGGGAGAATTTGCCCCCGAAATGCCAAAAAGAGCCCCCGAAAGTCATAAAAGAGCCCCCAAAATTTGCATAGAGTTCAATGCAAAACAAATTAAAGAGTGTTATTTTCGTGCAAGCAAGCTTGAAAAGTAGCCCTCAAAATTTTTCTAATATTTTTTCCCCTGTTATTTAAATGATTAAATGATTATTAGACAATATGGATGGATTGTAGACCAACTGGAAATTAGACCAACTGGAAATTGTAATAAATGAGCAATAGGCCAAATTAGTTGTAGACTTTTTGGAGGTTAGACCAAAAGGAAATTAGGCCAAATGACATTAATGACTATTAGCCTAAATGGTCATTAGACCATGTGGTACATGTAAGGAGACAAAATGATTATTAGACCATGTCATGTGGATAGTAGACAGTCTGGGTGTAGACCATATGGGAATAGACCAATTGGGTAGTAGACGAACTGGTTGTAGACCAAACATCAATAAACTGTAACATACATGTACCACACAATTATAATCTTGCTTTAAATTTTCAATGTTTTATGAAGGAAATACTGTAAGGAGAAACAATGTTTGCACAATATGACAATCATTTTTGCCTTTAAAAAGTTGGAAATTACCTTTAAAAACAATATTTTCCTGTAAATTTTGGGTAAACAAATCACATGTTTTGGTCTAAATGCAACATGTTTGTCACGATTGTAAGGCAGACTTTACGAAATTGAGATTGTGAATTGTGGAAATTCGTCTTGCGGAAAAATATATTGCACCCTGGAAATGTCAAGAGATAGTTTCTGTCACTTTATGCGCATTGAAGTGTACTCTAATGGTCATTCGGTCCCAAGGCAAAGCCTAGCAGTATACATTTTGTAGATATATCTTACACTTTATTTATTCTTGACGTCAGCAACATGGACGTATAATGGAATGGCAGTATGCGGCAAAGTGAGTGGAGTGAAGTGGAGATGAAGTTACAGAGAGGAGAAGCAGAAGACAGAAAAATAGGGAAGATGGAGAAGAAAACCATCTGGAAGCAAATAAACATGTTGAATATCTTGAGGATATTCTTTTTTTGTAATATTAATTTCATCAGAGATTATTTAAGCTTCATATTTCATGTTTGTCGATGAAAACAAATTTGTTTTTCACCTGTTGAACTATGGTGGTAGTTAATTATTTAAAAATACTGAATTATAAAGCATTTATTAATTTTACCCTGTGGGTTTGTAGAATCCTACCTCTTTTCAGAGTAAGCAAATTCATCCACAATTATAGATCCTTTCGAGAATGAAAGATCATAATTTGACTACATTTAAATCTAATTAAATTCTTTTATGCATTATGAGTGTTACAAATCCTGAGCAAGAGCAAGACTTATACCAAAATCGGTGCACACATTTGTTTGATTTGTATTCCTCCCCAACCCTTTTGCTTTCTGTTTTCCTAACCATCTTTTTTAAGAAAGGAGGGAGGGGGGGGGTTTGAGACGGTGGAAAGTACATATATAGGTTACTCACCGATGACTTAACAAAACACTCTCTCCGATACAAAACAATCTAGGTTGATATTGATGAATAACAAACAAGAAAGTAGATTTAAAGAGATAGCTAGATAGAGCGAAGACACCGAAAGCTAGGCTAGGAGGAAGCTGATAGCCGATGCAACGCTGATTTGATTTATTGAAGATGAAGCATGATGTCGGGATTAATCCTGAATCTATTCACTTGAAAAATATGAAAAGCTGTGTCCTAGTTGAAGTTCGAACAGCAGTTACAGGCAGGAATGTTGCCTAGCATGTATTGAGGTGATCACGACCATAAACATTGTTATTGAACAGGTAAATAGAACATTGGTTAGATTCTAATATAACAATTTCTTTTTTATTTCTCCTTCTGTTTTATTCAGGTTAAATGGATGATGTATTGGATAGTATTTGCACTATTCAGTTGTGTGGAAACAGTAGCGGACATATTTGCTTCAATGTAAGTATGATGAAGGCCTTTCCAATTTCTTGCCAATTTTTTTCTATGAAATTAGTCTCGTCTTGATGATGAACATTCATCCGTAAATGTAACAATCACAAAAGAATGAATCTTGGCCAGTATTTGTATATATCCTGAAGGAAATTTTGAACAGACCCACGATAGGGATTTTAAGCACACTTGCAGATTTTTTTCTTCATAAAGCGATGACTAATATTTGGAAAGGTGACATGTGCAAGTTTTTTGTCAATAAGAGTTAAAGATAAAAACCAGTCATGGTCATGCGATAACATTGATCAGAAAAGGTTGATCATCTAGCATATAAGTATTGGTGTGTACTGCAAGGTACTGGAATCATCAAAATGATAAGAAATTTGGCCCAGTCTTGGTAAAGTTATAAGCACTGTACACAGAAAGATGTATATAGGACTACGCACACCTGCGTTATATCTATCAGGTCTAAATAGATATAATAATTTACCAAATATATCAATTAGTAGGCGGTTTCTCGGCAAAATTTGTATAATCACATATTAGTTAAAAACATATTCTTTCACATGATTGGTAATAAGAGCTTCCATTTCATTTTTTGAGTGGGGGGCGTTTCCAAAACTGGTCTTTACCTGTAAAGGATATGCAAATTTAATAGTAATTGTTTTAATAGCAGATAAATATTTGTACTATGATGCAAAGAATCTCTCTACATTGTGATCATTTATTGTTTAATCATTCCTTTCACAACTAATATCTCACTTTTTATTCACTTTCCCTTCATGTGAAGTGATTTTTCTATTGCAGTGTTTTTATATATATATAAATATATTTAAGTTTTTTGTTGTTGATAGAATGAACTATACTCTAATCCTGTTCTTAAATTTATTTTGCAGATTACCATTTTATTATGAAATTAAGATTCTCTTCATATTTTGGCTCATCTCGCCTTGGACAAAAGGCTCCACATACCTTTACAGAAAATGCATCCATCCAGCTTTAAGTAAAAAAGAACAGGTATGTCAAAACAATTTTTCCTTTTTTTTGTATGCTTAAGATTAAGCAAGTATTACCACTTTTTGCATCGATGAAGATAAGTTTTGGTGCGTAGTTATCTTCTTTTTTAAAGGGGCTGCAGCATGGGAAATACTGGTTGACGCCATCAACGTCTTCTTTCGGACAACTGCACGTAAACGAATTTTCTTGATTAACTGGGTCAGCGCACGCTAGCATTCATGAAACAGACCGAAGTTCTGCTCACACTTCGGTTTTGTGTATGTTGCAATCAAGTGAATACGTGGGCCTACTGCGGTCGCGTCATATACCCGATTGGCCCTGAGTCAGGCCACAGGAAAGACACATAGTCTTGTCATGCTACAGCCCCTTTGATGAGAGTTTATTTGTGAAGGACCAGGTTTGTAACTGATTTCTGAAAAGGTGTTTACCGGTACATATAGGGGGAAAAATTGCTGTGAAAATAATCTATGAACAAGAATTTAAAATTGTTTTCACCCTTTTCATTCTCATAATTCATAAACTTATCAAATACACGTTTTTAACTACTGATAAGTTCAAGATATCCACACATACGGTATATAATACCCATCCGTTATCCTATGCAGTAGATTCCAAGTAAATGTGTTTCAGGAAGTTTTCTATACATAAATCCAAGAAACTAAACCAGAACTAATAGTACTTCCTCAATATTGTGACCCTTACAGTCATTTAACTACCCTTTAACATGTAGGAACATGTTTGAACAAATGTTCATTTACATCTTTTGACGATGACATTTAGTTCAGTGACAGGAAGGGAAAATAGATGCTGTCACACAACACACATCCTATTGTGTACACATTAAAGGTATAGACCAGTTCTGGTCGTGCGTTTGCATTGTGAAAGAAACGGTGTAAAATCGATCAGAAAAGGTTGATCATCTAGCATATAAGTATTGGTGTGTACTGCAAGGTTCTGAAATTATAAAAATGATAAGAAATTTGGCCCAGTCTTCGTAAAGTTACAAGCACTGTACACAGAAAAATGTAAATGGGACTACGCGATATCTATCCAGTCCGGATAGATATGATAATTTACCAAATAAATCAATTAGTAGGCGGTCTTACTAGCAAAATTGGTATCATCACGTATTACCTGTAGTCAAAACATATTCTTTCACATGATTGGTAATCAGAGCTTCCATTTCATTTTTTCAGAGGGGGGCGTTTCCAAAACTGGTCTATACCTTTAAAGGTATTTGAGAATTGTGTTGGTTATAATTGTTTCTCGAGTTTGTCTACACAACCAAAGAGTATTTATCCAATAATTGCCCAGAATCTGATGTTTCAGCTCCTAAAGTCATCAATTTTATCAGGAACAAAATACCAATCAATCAAATTTTCTTACTGATATGAAAATTTGGCTATTTCTCAAAACTTTGCCACCAAATACTGGTATTTAAAAAGTTATCAGGACACATGTATGCTTTAAAAAATTATTTAAAAAAATCATGTAGACACACTTTTATTTTTCATTCTCATGTTTGTTTTTCCTCAAATTTATGATTCCTCCTTTAAGCTATTAAAGCAACACATTGTAGACCAACTGTCGATGTGCTTAATTGAACCAACCAGGGCAGACATTTTGAAATGTACAAGTATGAGATCATGTCATTCATTGGACACAGTTGTCTCAAGCCCTGTCTGAATGCAGTGTCATTGTTATAGGACTGATTTCAAAGATGGCTGTAAGGATATGAATGATTTAACAGGAAATGGAAACAACTATTGAGAAGAGAAAATGCCTGTGGGGCTACTTTTATAGATACAGATGTACTGTCAGTTAGATAGACCTACTGTAATATACTACATGTACATTTACATGCAGACACATACATGTACCACACACAGGGAGACATAAAAACAAACAGATAGACATACAGACAGATAGACATACAGACAGACAGACAGACAGACAGATGAACACATAATCATATATCATGAACACTTAATGATATACACAGACAGACTTTCCTTATATGTTGTAGTTGACCAGATAGCATGATAAAGAAATATAGAAAGTAATCTAACATCAAAATAACAAGTCATTAATATTTTAAAACAAAACCAAAAAGTGAACAAGTTTGAATTTCATTAATGGTTTTGGGACAACAAACCAAGTTGAAATGCATAAATGAACATCAAAATTAACAAGCTGTGAACTTGAGGGAAAAAAATATCGAGAACTCCACAAATCTAGTGTTCTGAAAGGAAATGTGACCTCTTGAAAGGAAGGATGAGACCAAGTTCAAGGTTTAAAACCACACAACCAGAAAAGCACTTTGAGGTTCGTTGGTTTGCAAACTGTATAAAGTCACGGGATGAATACAATGTAGTTGGAAGGACGTGGTAAATGTATTGAAATTGATGTGTCTGAGATCTAGCGACAATTATTTACCGGTATGTGTGGAGATCAACACCTACATTTGTAATTTGATTTTTTAAGTTCAATCCTAGGTGAGCGAAATAGAGTTGAAAAAATCTGATTCAAACATAAAAGATAGTTCCAGATGCCCATACATTTGTAACAGCTCAGTTATGATCAGAAAATGAGGGTATCTTTATGGTATTTCTTATCTGTTTGGAGCCAGATTTTTCTGTTAAAATATTGCTGAAAAACCGAGAAGTAGTACTTTTTTTATGTCTTTTTCTTATTCATAAACCACAGGATATAAGCTTAGGCTTGTCAGTACATGTAAAGTTTCACATTCAGTATCGGTTGTGAAAGAGGGTTCATCATATTTTGTTTACGTCAGCTGTACGTACCACAGAACACATGCATAAACCTCATTCACATCAGCAGTGAGCGAGACCTGGGATCTCTGTAGACTAGAGGGACGAGAGATTTGTGTAATTTCTGACTGAGTGATTGAGCTGAATTTCAATTGAGGCCTTGGTCTAATCTTGGGACCATTTTCCTGTTTTGGAAAATAAGAATTTTTTGCTTGTCGAGGCAGGTTCAGTCAGGTTGCCTGCAGAATCATGCTTTGCAAATATAGGCCTTCCTTTGTTGTGATTTAAGTTTATAGAGACCCACATCAAACATTTAAAGTATAATTTCATTTTTGCAGTAGTTTTGACGAGAAGTAAAAGCACCCAAAGACTATATTTAGATTCATGTTTATCATCTCTTTTTGGGGTCTTTATGTAGTTTTGTTTTCCAAGGCCCATTTCCATGGTCCAAGGATCATTTTACAAACCTATCAATTTGGTTATTATGATATTCTCGATGTGAAAATATGTTATGTAGGTAATCAAAATAAGAAATATCATTCATGGAGACTGACATTTAAAAAAAAGACTCCCCTGCTGTGTATTTACATGAAAAAGAGGAATAGATGGCAATAATTTATGAAGCTTGTTGAATTGAGTGCCCCGAAATGCTTTATCACAGATGAGTTTTAATAGAGAGAGAGAGAGAGTTAAGATGAAAAATATTAGAAGTGCAGTGAAAATGAATACTATGCTTCAGGTCCTGATCATAAATATGATATCTTTCAAATACTTATGTTGCAATTTTATCCTTCCCCTGATTCTCTCCACACAGGAAATTGATGAGTATATTAACCAAGCCAGTACTAGGGGCTATGAAGCCCTCAAACGAGTAGGACGCAACGGAATGACGCTGGCCGCCAACGCTGTTATGACTTCTGCAATCAAGGTAAACAAACTCATACATACATACATACATGCATATCAGGGCTTTGCATATGTACAATAGCATTCAAATGAAATATTGCTCAATGCGCTTTTCATGACAAATTAATACTAAAGACAAACAATGAAATAAGGAAAACACCACATGTAATGTTTGCTTGTGTCTTTGAACTGCTTTTTAATGTGTTCTTTCCAGGGTGCGGTAACTTGCTTGTAATGTGAAGTGTAAAATATTCATAAAGGTTGAGTAATTTTTGAGAACATAATCTCTTTGCCAGTAGCATTTTCCCAACAGAGACGTCATCATTCACAGTGTACATTGTATATTCATACTGTTTTAAGATTTCATATCTGATAACTTGGTGATTTAGTTGCCTAGGGATCAGTGTGACGTTTTCATCCCTTCTTACAAAGCTGGTTGTCATGAAAACAAATGGAACACAAAGCTTGTTGAATAATTATTTGTATCTTTTGAGTACAGCATATTCATTAGCATTAGTGGTTTGATATACTGGTATAAATTATTTATAAAATGTAGATCTCATAGTATAGGAATTCAGTAACATGCAGGCAGTGAGAAGACATGAAAAGAGAGGGGGAAAATAAAAGGAGGGAAGGAAAGAGATGAGAGGGGTAAGAGATTAGAGAGGATGGAGAGAATGAGAGAGAGAGAATGAGAAATAAAGAGAGAGAGAGAGAGAGAGAGAGAGAGAGAGAGAGATAAAGATAGATAAAGGAGAAATAGAGAGAGAAATAGAGAGAGAGAGAGAGAGAGAGAGAGAGAGAGAGATACAGACAGATAAAGGAGGAAAAGGAAGAGATATAGATAATGGAGAGAAGACATATTGTGCATCTAATTGCAACAGGTTTGTGCAATATCAAGGATAGAGATCTTTATTCTCACATTACCCACAATCAAATGATAAATTAATCAAGTAAATTACAAATAATTTATTTAATTTGAATGTTATTCATGTACAATATGCAATATTATTTTGTTGTGTACATACTAATTATAGTTCTTGTGCAGAGACCATGCAGTCATATTCCATTGTTAGAGCTACACACTAACATACATATGATATGATTTGAACTTTGACCCTACCCCTCCAATGTGATATTCGGTCCGGGATACCTGACACCAGCATTGATCATCTTCCACACATCTCATCAATCCCAGCCAACATCTATGCACACATCCTGAGGCATATATGTCTATGACTCATTTATTAAGTGTCATGGCAGGACGCTAATGTCGCGCTGCATCTCATGTTATCATGCTGTGTGGCTGGTGTTGCGTTTGGATGTGTGCATAATCATTTGTTGGCAATTGACCATTGGTATGAATGGGCATGTACACTGTACATATTTGGGGATCATGAGTAGAAAATGGTGTATACCGTATCGATCTACCACTTACGTTTGGTTTAGAAATATAAATATAAACAAAAAATTTCTCTTTGTTTCATTGTAGTTTTCTACTACTACGACTTGTAGTTGTCTACCACAATAAATCTACCACAATCAGTCTACAATAGATTAGTACAGGGTCAATTTACAGTCTATAATCCAGATACATATAGTTGAGCCCCTCTCAATTGGTTCAGTAAGTCACTACAAACTTGTATTTACACCTGGCAGAATCTTTTCTTTTTTTTGGGGGGGGGGGGGGGGAGGGGCAATTCTTTATTTCAATTTATGGCAAAATTGCAGGAAATATATCTTAAAATTTTAAATAAAGGTATATACATAGTCATTGCACAGATATTAGAACTGATTTAGGATTTTTTACCCGAATCCTGGGACTTGTTTATTTCAAGGAATATTTAAAACATAACCCATACTGGCCAAGACCTTCAATGGCTACAGTTTAGTTTAGTAGTTGTATTGGTCCAGCTTGATTGTATTGACCCCATACTGCTGTGTAGTGGTGATGCTATATGCATTCACCTGCCATGGTATGTTGTTTCACAGTGTGATACCACAGCGAACCACATGCCCTGATCAATAAGCCCCCCTGGGTCGTCCGTTACAAGATATCCACCTATCGTTTCCTATCCTAACATTGAGCTCCAGGTGTACATGTACATATTGTATTTCAATCTCTGGTTTGCCTTGTAATATTGGTGAAAGATAGAGATGTGATTAACAGATCTAGATTTAAAGTAGAAGTTCACATTTTGAAAATAGTTGCAACTGTTCCTCTTGCCCTCTCACAAATGGGATACATGGGCTTCTTTAGAATAATATGATAGATGCTTTATAGCTGTGTTCAAGCATGAATTTGAACTCATCTTTGAATTTTTAATCATGATGCCTCTATGTATCTATGAGTGACATACTAGGGTCAGTACTCATCTTGGAATATAGTAGGTTTACATCTAATGTAGATCAAGTGTTTACCAGAGTTTTCATATATAGAATTCTGATATGTGAATTTGAATATAAGTATGCAAGTAAAAGTTTGCATTTTTAATAGTATTATTTCACCACAAATATTTAATATCTCTTTTTTTTATATTGTGAGTGTGGAACTGAGCTGTTGCATTACAGATACCACATTTCTTCTTGAATTGTTATCAAAATATTTAAATTCTGAGATGCAATGTCATTATATAATCACACTAAAAAAATGCAGTATATTTCTACAATGCTTGCTGCTATGACAGGCAGCATTATCCGGCAAAATATACCTCCTCTAAAAAGGATATCTGTTTATGATAAGTAGTCCCCAAATGAAGTAAATTCATATGCAATAATCTATGATGGCATCAAATGAACTACTCCTCATGCAAGTAACTGTCTTCCTTTCCCGAATGGAATGAATTTGGTGCCTTAAAAAAGTGAGTCACCCAATGATTTTCCCATTTCTGGTTCGGGTGGACTACCCTCTAGATAATCACTCGCTATAATCCAGAGAGGAATGCAAGGCACCGACCGACTGTTAGTTGAGTCCTTGATCGGCCCGGCCGTCTGCTGGAGGAGGGATAACGAGACGTGAATTATTTAGTCTCGCTCTTTGGCTTGGGGTCCGTGGGCAAGCTATGTCATCAAGCTCCGTTCACACGTGATGAATTAAATGGCCTTAAAAAGAAAGTAATAAAAATGCTGCAGCGAAGGCAGTGATGCAATCGTAGTGCAATTCATATATTTGTATCTCGTTACTTAAATATGAAGAGTTTAATTCCAAAAGGAGCTAAATCCATTTTTGTAACTTCAGAGAAAAAAGAAATTGTTTACCAGATTTTGTACAGGCGTCTATGGAAAAGAGATTTTAGAAGGACAGAAGGTGCATTTTTTTCATAATTACTCCCAAATTTAGGTAAATAATTTGGTTGAAACTTGAAAGACGGGTACTTAAGTGAACAATGTTCCGATATCAATAAATTAATTGTCATCAAAAGTGGATTTAGCTCCTTTTGGAATTAATCTTTTCATAGAGAAGTGAGTGTGCATAAGGTTTTAGTTAATTTTAGTTGCACGCAGCTGTCTTGTTTTCCTTCCTTGCCATGGATTTAAAGGTAAAGACCAGTAATGGTCATGCGATTGCATTGTGAAAGAAACGTTGTGGAATCGATCAGAAAAGGTTGATCATCTAGCATCTAGCATCTGCAAGGTTCTGGAATCATCAAAATGATAAGAAATTTGGCCCATTCTTCGTAAAGCTACAAGCACTATACACAGAAAGATGTATATGGGACTACCCTATCTCTCTCACACGACCATGAGAGAAATAAATTCACCAAATATATGAATTAGTAGGCGGTTTCCCGGCAAATTTTTTATCATCATGTATTAGTCAAAACATATTCTTTCACATGATTGGTAATGAGAGCTTCCATTTCATTTTTTGAAATTGGGGCGTTACCAATACTGGTCTTTACCTTTAAAATGGTTTTAATTGCGGCGGCGGCAGCTTTTTTTTTTTTGGAGGCAGTGTAACATGTTTAGTATGAAAGAGGCATTAGCAGTGTAGCCTTCTTAATGAGAGATGGTGATAGATTAGCAATCTACATTTCAAGTGGTACATTAATGCGCTTCATTAAACCAAGCTTTGTGTACACCATGAAGTATTCAATTGAGATGCACAGTAGTGAATTTCGTAGAGCATGAATTATGCTCCAATTGAATGATTTTAAGAACAGAGGATTGTAGAACCTCATACTTTTAGCAAAGCCTTTGTACGCTGTCTATTTCATTGGTATGATATGATATTTATCACCATTAATTCAATGAATTTAATGCATTTATTGCATTTGCCCAAGGGTCGGTACTGTGTAGGGCTGGGAATTATGGATATTTAATTCAGATACCTGCCCAGAGCATGAGTTATGCTCCAACTGAATTATAAGAACAGATAATTGTGGAAACTTATGATGGAAATGATAAGTTTATGTTTGTTGCAAAAAGCACAGTACTGTCTTCGATACTTGGATTAGAAAACAACAGCAGAAGAAATGCAAATAAAGTTTTAAAACATGGACTTGATGTAGATCTATGTAGAAATGGAAATGAATCTTAACATTAGAAAAGGGATGAAAGTAAATATATGAACTGGATCATTCCTTGAATCATGAAAACAAAAATCCTTCAGAAAATACCACGTAGGGATAGCTTTCCACTTATGAAGATAAACAGGACGAAAACTCCAATTGAACTGTAATAGATCCTTTCAAAATAATCTTTCAAAACCATGTTACCAAAACATGTTTTGATGAAATAATTCATAACAAGTACATGTGTACACATGTATATTTACATAGACATCCAAATCTGTGCGGAGGCATATCCGTTTTCATAGTTGTTTGTGTATGTTGCCAAATAAATTGATATAATATTTGTTAAATCTCATATTTATTGATGGTAACATCTTCAAACATTTAATATCATGCAGTGTGCATTTCACAACCCCTGTTCTTCATTTGTTCAATTATTTTGTTCAAATCATCTTGTTGCATTTCCTTATGATATGTAATATTGACCATCCTCTCACACATGTACATT